CAGTCTCTAAGTCATGATTGACTCATTGTGGCCCCATGGGTTGTAGCCCGCCAGGATCCCCAGTCCATGGGATTCTCTGGGCAGGAATACTGGAGTGGGTTGCCATTCCCTTCTCCAGGGGAACTTCCCAATCCAGGGATCGAACTGGGGTCTCCTGCCATTTCAGGTAGATTCTTTACCGTCTGAGCCACTGGGGCAGCCATATTTCGGAAGGTAGCCAGAAAAGTTCTAGCTCAGTTTCTTTTCTTTTCTTTCTTTGTCCATTCTCTCCCTATCCTATAAACACAGTCAGCTTGAATTTTATCAACACAGAGTTGAGGCATTCATGGCATACAGCATCTGGATTGGTATACCAAAAGGCAAAGATATTGGGAGTCTAGGTGCAGAGAAATGCAGAAGAAAGTGACTTTAATTCTAGAACTATGAGCCAATTTAACAGCTGATGGTTTAAAATTTTCGATGGGGTGGCATGGAGACCTCCTCTACTTGAAACCTATCACATCAGGTTGTGACTAAAATCCACGTGGCCAGGACTCCAACCACCCCAAAATCCAGTTTGGGACTTGAACCACAGTCTCTTAATTAGAATCACTCACCTGGTACATGGAGTTACTGTGGCTGAGGTTCTTGTGTGTCTCAGTGCAGAAGGAATTTAGCAAGAGGCAAAGTGTTAGGAAAGAAATAGATTTATTTGTATAGGATGCTTGTAAGAGATGCAAGCAGGCGGGTGATGGAGCTCTCCCTGGAGGATTAAGTGGAATACATTTATAGTTAAGGGAAAGTGGAGGACTAGGAAAGACTGCCTTCTTTGAGTAGAGGTCAGGCTTATATCACTTGCTCCGAATTCGTTTGGAGCAGGAGAGTGTGTGACCTTATGAGATCAAACTTGGATTATCGTAGCACTTCTTCAAATCAATAGAAGGGTGGTGACATTCTTCTTTTACCTAAAGGCCTGGGGGACATCTCATGTATTATATATGGCTTTATATTTAAACTAACCTGCGTCCTTCCACTACATTCTCATACCTTTCTTGAACTACGTTAACGTACAACGGTCTACCAGTGGTTCCTGGGTTTCTGTTTCTCTATTCCCCATCAAACCCCGCCTAGACTTCCCGATCTACGTGTCTGTCTGTCTGTGCTCAGGCCCTCATTCATGTCTGACTCTTTGCAACCCCATGAACTGCAGTGCTCCAGGCTGTCTGCCCATGGGATTCTCCAGGCAGGAATACTGGAATGAGTAGCCATTTCCTTCTCCAGGAGATGTTCCAGAACAGGGAACAAACCTCCATTTCCTGCATTGCAGGTGGATTCTTTACCACAGAGCCACCTGGAACCTGTATCCTATGCTATTCTATCCCTGTCATATGGAGGTCAGGTCCCCTAGCCAAGAGCAGTCTTTTTCCTTTGTGGGTGCCTTCTTCATGAAGGTCTCCAGCTTGGACTGTTGTCTGGCATTTAGTGAGCAATTTTCTTCTCAACAAGTGGAAGGGGAAGTCATGCATAAGCAGAAACATCAAAGGTAAACTTTCCTACCAAGGACTTGAGGGGAGGGGCAGGTCACTTGGTTTGGGGCCTTCCTTCAATTCCTATTATCATGGAGGATTAGAAGGACAGAGGCCCAGGGAAATCAGTTCACACAGAGTAGCTGACCCATGTATGAAATAAGTGTCCTCCCTGCCACAACAGCGGTTACATGAAGCTCCTCTGGAGAAATGACCAGGTGTCCTCTGGGAACTTCTGGGAGGTCTTGCAACTCCTCTGTCTTTACCTGAGGACATGTGCTCAGAGTAAGGCTCACAACTCTCTGAGACCCAATAGAAGAAAGCAAAGGTTGCCTAACTTACCACATCTACCTGTGGTCTCTCAGGACAGAAAACTATGGCTGGCAAATTGAGGCCTTCTGACGGCTGGCTGCACCAGTCCATGCTCAGGCTCCTCGATTTGACTCCTGGGAAGACCTGTATTTCCTCCCTGTCTTCACTATTACTGTCCTCTCTCCAGGTCCTCACACTGACTTCCCATCTCCTAAGGAGGCCTGTCCTCTCATGCTACAGCCTTGAATTCCCTGAGACCATCTCAGAGGATGTGAGGGCTCCCTTGTGGACATGCCTGTCTGTGGTCACTCATGGCTGACCCTCCGGGAGGGATTCTGTGGTGTCCCCACTTTTATAGTGTGAGTGGTTCCTTTAGTCCTCATGGTACTCTACTTGACTCTTGGCATGACCTGGAATTCCTATTGGGGTTGACCCCTGAGCCCCAGCGCCTCACCTCCTGAGATGCTCTAAAAGCAAATGTGTGGGGTGCATCATGCCCACATTCCCGGACTTGCCAAGGGAGGTACAGAGGGCCAGGGATGTGTTCTAGGCGCAGTCCCTTTATCCTCATTTGGAGTCACTAGTTTTCCACTCTGTACTGAAGTGAGGCTTCTCCCAGTGGACCAAGGCTCTCACCTCCCTGAGACCACTTCAGCAGAAAGAGAAGCACTTCGGCCAGAAAGCTTTCTCCTGGGCCTCGTAGGGCTGACATCAGGGGTGTGCCTCCACAGTCTCCTCTGTTCTGGGCTGAGTGGTCTTCTTGCTCCCCCTTCAGGGACCTCATCCTCACTCCTGACCACACCCAGACCGCACCCTGCACTGACCTGAGGCTGTGCTCCTCAGAACAAAGGCATTAATTTCTTGGAAGTTCTGGATTGGAAGACAGGATGAACCAGATGTGTGCAAAGCTATTGGGGCCTTCTGAGGAGGAAAACATTATAGGGCTCCACTCTTCTGGATTCAGTGGCCCCCCAGTCTTAGATCAGGTTTCTTACCTTGACTTCTGGTAGCATATGGGAATCCACCCTCTCTACTGGCTGAATCAGCTGGCCTGTGGCCAAGGTTTTTGCCTTCTTGAGACAACAGAATGGTAAGTTATAGAGCTATTCCCTGGCTACCCTTGCCTGCTCCTCCGTGCCATCCCCCTCGCTATGGGGGCGTCCACTCATCAGCACCCAGTGTCCTCACTGTAAATCCTATGAAGTCCTGTTAGGGTCTCCTACTTGGGCAGAATTGGAGCTGCTGCCGCAAGGCCAAGGCGCTCAACTCCGAGAACCCCTCCACCCTTGCCCTGCAGAAAAGGTAGGCGCACCTCAGACAGACTGCTCTCCTCATGGCCACACAAGGCAAGAAGCAGGATATAGTTTGTGGGATCCCCTAGTGTTCTAAAATCTTCCCCTTGATAACTCAGAGGCTGCGACTCCTCCATCCATTGACCTGAGGGCACAGCCCTTAAGCTAAGGCCGTTATGTCCCTGAGAATCGGGAAGGATAAATGAGGGCATATGGATCTTTTCAGGGTATCTGACATTGGGTGTGTTCATGACCACATTGTCCATGAGTAGTTTTGTCTTCATTCATACCATTCACTTAGGAACATTATTTTAACTTTATTCCAAAAACAGTGCTTTGGGACAGGGCCCCAGGTATCCAATGGCATACATTTTTTGGAGTGTTTAGAGGAAAAATGAATGAAAAGACATGATGTCTGGTTTAGGCTGGGAGAAGTGGCACTTTGTGGGCTCTGCACTAATCCAGATCAGGGCGTTAGTCCTGGGAAGGTCACTTCATCAGTTTGTGAACTTGAGAAATTTGCACGTAACTCCATAAATGCAATCTGCTAAATCCGATCCTGCGTGAATGCTGGAATGCATGTACTACATATAAAGCAGTGGCAAACTGATGAAGAAGTATTGTTTTGTAACAAATGGAAGTTATGATTACTATGAACCCCTCAAATACTACCTTCCCATCTGAAATTATTTTTAATCCAGGATAGAACAGAGAATAGGCAGTAGATTACTACAAAAGAAACAAATATTCTTAAATGAGCTCAATGAGTCAAACAATTTTTTATTTTTAATAAAAGAAAGTTTAAAAGAAATGAGGTAAACCACAACTTAAAGACTTTTTACCCTATTTTTTTATCTCTTTGTGTTTTTCAGTATTTTCTGGGGTTGTCTTTCACATTTCCATGAAGATCTCTTGCAGTGCTATGTTACCTACTTCCAGATCATGAAGACAATATAGATGGTTTATGAATATCTTTAATTCTACCAAAAGTGTACCTTTAAACTTTTATAACAGCAATAAATATAAGAGCAGTATCATTACCAAATTAATACTCTGAAGAAAAACAAACTCTTAGAAGTAAAAATATTTGAAACAAATGAAATAATATGTAGAAGTTATTCGTGTGAAAGAAAAAGATCAATGAGATCTAAATTTTATTACTCCACCCCTATGACCCTGCACTCTTTAGAAGCTTGACTGCCCTCCAAGAAAAATTCTCTTCTAGTGTCATGTTATCTTGTTTAGATTGTGAACAACATATTCAATACTTTCAGTGTGCTTTACAAATCCCCAAACTTTGAAAACATTAAAACAGCAAGAAACTATGATTTATGATTCATACATTTGAATTCTGAAGCACAGTAAACCTTATCAAAAGTAAGAACAGTTGAAAACACTAAACCCCTCCTTTATCTCTTTACCTATCTACCTTAAATCATCTTTCATTAGGTATTTCTCATATGGATAAAAGAAAACGATACATATTTTGTTAAAACAAGCTGCACCTAAACTCGCTTACCATTTACAACTGTAAGAACATATGGGTTTTGTTTCCTACACCCTACTACTCTGCACTATTTAGGAACTTGACTGCTCTCTTCCAGCACAAAGGGAACAAAGTGCCCTGCCTGCCTCCCTAGATGTGGGAGGAGCTGCAGGACTTGGCCCTGGAAGGGGCACTGGCCTCGGCCATGGTTGGAGCCCTGGCCGCGCCTCTCGGCCCTGCTCTCTCTGCCTGATCTCTCAGAGCCTCCTCGTAGAGGTCTGGGAAGGAACTAGGGACCAAATGGAGGATCTTGGCCACAACCTTCAGTACCTTCATCTTAGTGGTCTCAGCACAAGCTCTCGGGCCCCACAGGAACTCATAGCGCGGAGGATCACTATTGGGCACCTGGCGGTAGTTCAGGTATTCCTTCTGCACCAGATCTTTGGTGATGACCCTCCTGGGCTCCCCAAGGATCCAGTGCCTCCTCCCAGCATAGATTCCCAAGATATTGAGGAATTCCCAGACCTCCTCCTCGGTGGCCCGGTTACCATTCATGAAGATGACCCCCAGGAGCAACATGAGGAGACCGGACTTGGGAACCCCACCCTCATCATTTGGATCTTCGTCGCCCCCGAGGCTGAGCTTGCTGATGAGGATGTAGATGTTCTTGATGCAGTCGACTTCCCTCAGCTCCAGGCCAAACACCAGCTCCACGTGCTCAGAGGCTGTCCTGAGGATTTCGGGGAAATGCTGCCTGTACTTCCTGCTGACGACTTTCATCAGGGCCTTCTTCGTGATGGGCTCCTTCTTGGTATATTTCTCCATCAGGAACTCCACCAGCATCTTGGCCTTCCCTGCCAGGGGATCTTTGAGAGTGCTCTCCATGACGGGCACCACCTGGGAACCACCTGCACTTTCCTCCTCTGGGCCCTGGGCTCCTTCATCAGATCCTACGCAGGTAGGCCCTGCATCAGGAGAGCTAGGGGCCATGGCTCCCTGAAGCTCCTGGTGATTGCCAGTATCAGGGGTGCTCGGGGGAGAACCCTGAAGGGCAGACGAGGATGAGGAGGGGCACTCCTCTCCTGGGGCTGCAGCAGCACTGGCCTGGGCCTCCTGAGTGTCCCCCCGGACCTGGTGGTGTTTCCCATGGGCATGGTACTTGTTCTTGTGCCGCCGAGGCATGGTGACACAGGTCAGGGTCCGCAGGTGGGAGTGCGGGCAGGAAGGCAGGCAAGGAGGGCACCTGGAAGAGGGACAAAGAGACGCTGTGAGCACCTTCAGCAAGGAGAGTCCTCCCTGGCTTGAATGGAACCCGCCTCTGAGGGGTCCGTGAGGCCAGTGCTCTAGGACCCACAGGGCTCCTGGTCTCCTGGTCAGCCGGTCCCCTGAGACCGCTGAGTAGCAAGTGAGAGTGAGCCCTGGGGCGCAGCAGACAATCCTGCCTGGGCCTTAGAGGGGTGGCCAGTGGGGGCTGGCGGGGGCGGGGGGTGGGCAAATCCTCTCAGCTCTCATTCAGAGTCAGGATGAAAATTGGTGCGAGACTCCCCATATCCAACGCCCCCTCTCCGGCACACAGCCCGATCCGTCTCCTATCTGAAATTGCCTCTGCCACCTTCTCAGTCACCCCAGATGAGGAAAGGAGCACATGCTCAGCCCCCCACTGAAGGGTCCCAGGACCTTCCCTTCAGCTGTCTCGTGGCTTCCCCTTCACAACCAGGCTCCCAGCTCCCCTTTCAGACAGCCGCCCCCCCCCCTTCCCGATGTTTTGCCAGGAGGAAGCGCTGACCACAGGGGAGGATCCTGAGTTGCCCGTTTGTCGGGGAGGATGGTCCTCATCCTGACTCTTCCCAAACCCTGACATCCTCGCTCTACTGACCGGCTGCCGGCCCCTCAGACCAAAGTCCCCTCTTCCCTGAGTGTCCCGCAGACGAGGTTGCAGTGAGAGAGCCCCTCAGCCTTTAGAGCTGCCCGGCTGCTGTCCAGATGATCCGCGGCCAAATCGCGGTGAGTGGGGAGTTACACATGGCTGCCGTTCTGGTGTATGGAGCCCCTCAGTCGCCCCGAGGGTCCCTCCTTCACTCCCCAGGGTTCGAGGCTCTCTCTCTGCTGAGCGGAGCTGGGGTCCAGCAGAGCCTGACCGAGGCATTCTTTCCCGAGACCCCCTAGGGGATGGTCTTGGGGCCTAAGAGCTAGGCTGGACCCTCTGGTCTGAGTGTAGGGGTAGAGCGGCCGGAGGTTTTGCAGCCGCTTCTTTGTGGAGGGAAAAGGGATTCGGGGTGCAGGGACAGATGTATCCCTGCACTCGTAACTCACGTCACCTCCGATCTTGACACCCAATGAGACTTGGGACAACTCCCTATGGCCACCGTCAATGGCAGCTGTCAGAGATGGTGGCACAGTCAAGGATGGCGTCACACCCCCAGCGTGCTTAGGAGGACGTCACTTCCTGTCATGCGCATCTGAGCTCCAGGAGGACGCCATGGGCGGGACTTGGACAGGCGGGGTTCCGGGGGAGCTTCTCACAGGATTGGCAGGTGGACGTTCCCTTGACTCTTAAAGGGTTTGGGGACGTCTCTGTCCTGAACTGTCAGCTGGCTCACTGCATGCCTCTCACTTGTGTCAGCACCCCAGCTGGAAGAATTGGGGAGCTGAAGCCGAGCAGCCTTCCTGGAACCCGTGAGACTGACAGCGAGGGCTCTCTTGGGCTCCCTCTTCTGTAGTAAGCGATGCTCTGTCGTTCTCCATGCCTTCCCTTAACCCCTGTAGGTGCTGGGCTATGTCCCAGGTGGTGACCTGAGGCGAAGGCCTCACATCAAAGATGCGAACCCCTGAGTCTCCTGGTATGAAGTCCACATACATCTCATCTCGCCATTTCTACCTGAGGCTTCCTGGAAATGGCTGCTACAGGTAAGATAAACTGAGAGGGAAGGATGGGAGACTATCTTCTGTGGTGTGGAACCCCTCACATGTCACTCAGAATCTTCATTCATATTGAGTGCTGACAGGGCCTGGACATCCTTCCCTTTCTGGTGTAAGTCCACCCCTGTCCCCAACTATGCTCATACAATTCCAGAAGGATAAGTGAAGGGGCTCCTTAGCCCGTCAGTTCTCACTGTGGGCTCTCAGTCGACTGCAGGGTCATTGCTCAAAAGTTCTGAGATGAAGTTCTGTCGTTTTGTACAATTACTGTGATACTAACTTTTTTCTTTTAGTCCCTGTGTGATAGTCTATTAAGGTGATCATTTAAAAGGGCCAGTTCTCATCCACTAACATTCCCTGGTGGCTCAGCCAGTAAAGAATCTGCCTGCGGTGCGGGAGACTTGGGTTCAGTCCGTGGGTTGGGAAGACCCCCTGGAGGAGGGCATGGCAAACCCCCCTAGCATTCTTGTCTGGAGTATCCCCCTTGGACAGAGGAGCCTGGTGGGCTACAGTCCATGGGGTCGTAAAGAGTCGGACACAACTGAGTGACTAAGCACACACACAACGAACTCTGTGCTGGTTGTTTCATGATCTGGCCCATCCTGCCACATCCAACCCAAACTTTGGTGCCACATGGTCCTGGCATGGGGCCTTGGCGATGCTGCCTCAGATTCCTTCAGTGAATCAGTGGAGATTCATGATCCCCGGGCAGAGTGGAAGAATCCAGGGCTCAAGCCTGGATTGAGCCTTTTAGAGCCTTTTCCAGCTGATCCTGGTGTCTGCTTCCCTTGCAGGCTGCCCGTGTGTGCCAGTCTCTGAGTACTGCCCCACCTGGACACACATAGGGTCAAGTTCAGTGGAGACTTATTGTCCATCAGGGATTGTTTAATTTTATGTTTTGACTTTTGTTAATAGTTTTCTTTACTCCTTCCTAACATTTCCATGGTTACTTCTGGGTAGAAGAAACAGTGGACCGTGTTTCATTGTGGTCTCAGCGACTCTGAATGTGGTACTAACTCTATAAAGGAGTTACGGATAATTGACAGTCTTACAATATCTGTTCGTCATGAATATATACAACATACTATTCTGTTTGAGCCCTCTTTTTCCTAAGACTCTCAGGAAATTCTTCTTGTTGCCTCCATGAAGACTATATACATTTTTCTAAAGTTTCTTTCTAGGTAAAGTTTTGTATGGTTGCTTTTGTTTATGGTGTATTTTCTGTTACTTGCTATAAGTAATTGTTGATTCTTCCAGACCAATCTCTTGATTTTGCTGTGCTGATCTTTTTTGTTTATACCAGATTTTTGAAGTTCCTTATATGTTTGAGTGTTTCCTGTCCTGTTTTCTAAGATTTTTAATTCGAGAATCAAATTGTTACTGTGATCTTTTGCTTTTCATTACTTCTGACTTTTATTCATTTGGCATTGTTGTATATAACTCTAGTGGCTATGTGTACTTCTCCAGATTTTTTTTCTAGTTTTTTAATTCACAGATTTTTTAACAGTTATTTTTAATGAGAAGATAATTAAATGTTGTGTCAGGTTCTCTTGTATAAAGCAGCTATAAGTTTACGTATATCCCCTCCCTCCCACCCCCGACCTCACCCCTCTAGGTTGTCACAGAGCTGATTCCTTGTGTCATACAGCAACTTCCCCCAGATGCCTGTTGTCCACATGGTAGTGTATGTTTGTCCATGCCACTCTCTCAATTCGTCTCACTGTCTGCTTCCCCGATGTGTCCACATGTCCGTTCTCTACGTCTGTGTCTCCATTCTTGCCCTGCAAATAGGTGTATATCTACCATTTGTAGATTCCATATATGGATGTGTTAACATAGAATGGTTTTCCCTTTCTAACTTATTTCACTCTGTATGACAGGCTCTAGGTGCATCCAATTCACTACAACTGACTTAAATTTGTTCTTTTGCATAAATGAGTAATATTCCATTGTCTATATCTACCACAAGGTCTTTATCCACTCATCTGTCAGTGGAAATTGAGGTTACATTCCATGTCCTGGCTATTGTAAATAGTGTTGCAATGAACAGTGTGATACATGTATGTTTTAAGTTGTTTAGCGAACTTATAAATACACTAATCGGCGTCTATGCCCAGTAGTGGTATTGCTGCATCATAAGGCAATTTTCTTTCTATATTTGAAAGGAATCTCCATACTGCATTCCATAGTGGCTATATCAATTTACATTCTCCCTCAGAGTGCAAGAGGGTTCCCTTTTATTCACACCCTTTTCTTCATTTCTTATTGGTAGATTTTTTTTTGATGGCTTTTCTGACCGGTGTCAGGTGATACTCTATGTAGTTAGATTTGCATTTCTCTCGTAATGAGCAATGTTCAGTCTTTTTTCATGTACTTTTGGACCTTCTGTTTCTTTTCTTTCTTTTCTATATAGCCAAAATAGGATTACAGAAAATTAAGCAGATTATATAGAGTTCCCATACAGCCAGTGTCTTCCTCTGCTTAGTATATTAACATCTTGTATTGCTTGAATGGATAGAAGTTCATTTCTTACAATTGATCAACTAATATCAATATGTTATTTTTAACTATTGTCTATTGTTCAATATTTTTTACATTTTCTCTCTCACAGTTGTGTAGTGCTTCACAAATGCATGATATTACCTGCTCAACAAACATAGTGTCATGCAGGGGAGTTTCAGTGCACTATAAATCTCCCATGATCCACCTGCCCATCCCTCAAAACCTCACTTTGAGCCCCTGACAACTACTGAAATTTTTCTTCTTTCTAACAATTGGCCTTTGCCAGAATATAATATTAATAGAATGATACAGGATGTAGGCTTTTTATACTGGCTCCTTCTACTATTCAATATGCATTTGTTTCTCTGTATGTTTTTATGGTTTGAAATTTTTCCTTTGAAGGCTGAATGTCATTCCATCGTGTAAACTACCAGTTTTGTTTACCCATTCATGTACTGAAGGTCATCTTGGTTGATTGCAGTTTTTGGCAGCTATGAATTAGCCTACAGTTAATATTTTTGAAGTTTTTTGGATGGAGATAAATTTTCAGCTCTTCTGAGTAAATACCTAAGTGAACATCTCCTAGATCATATAAAACTATCTTTAGCTTAAAAAAAAATTGCCAGACAGTTTCCAGTGTGTCTGTATCATTGCATTCCTTTCCGTGCTGAGTTAGACTTCCTATTGGTCCTGGTCCTTGCCAGCATTTGATATCGTCAGGTGTTTGTTTTTGTGTTATCCCTGTTAATAGGTATGTCATT